TAAAAATGTTGTAAAAATTTATACCATTTTTGATAACATTTGTGATTTCATAATTGGTGTTGAAAAAAGTAACAAACCTGTTATGAAAACTCATAGGTGTTGTGAAAATAAGGAAATGTTGTGAATTGTCACAAGTTAAAACTTTTATGAGACGTTTCTGAAAAGTCACAACTGTTAGAAGTTCAAAAAATATTGATGCAGTAGTCCTACAAATATACCGCACGCGTACTGATGTGTACAAGAAAATAGGATTGCGCCAATTTCGAAATTAGAAGGACGGGAAGCTAAAGGAGCGGAAAGTCGATGTTGCTGCGTTCGCCACCGATCGAGTTGCGATTTTTTGCAATGTGTCCTGCGGAAGAAACACCTGTTTCCAAGACACCCTTTGCCCACGCCCAACTCACGTCAAAGTCGCGACAAAATCACAAAAATTTGCGGTAATGCTCCAAAACTCGCTCTAAATTCGCGAAAAACTCGGAAAACATTGATCCCAGCTTTCTCCTTACTCGCGACAACTCGTCAACTCGCCAACTTGAACGTTGTTCACCTATTTTGGAAGTGAGGGAACACCCGCGTGAAATTATACAGAAAAACAAAGTGGTGGTTCCAAAAAAATTGTTTTCAAAGGCTTCGCTAGCGCTTACCCAGTGACATTTAACTGTTGCATTCTGCAGATAGGCCTTACAGAAGTGCGTAGTATCACTTGAAAAACATAGAAATAACTGTATTCATATCTTGTCTCAAAACGTTGTTACGGCACATAAGAACGAAACGCACACACTTCTCCCAAAATTGATTTCCCCTAGATTGTAATGTGTAGAGCACTCAAGTTTCGGCGAGTCAAAAGTGTTGATGAATTGGCCTCAACCTCACAGTTAAAAAAAATTGTAACTTTCCAAGAGTATACCTGTAATCTGGTACAGAAATATTATGGTAATTTTACAGAGTATGGTAAATTTACTACATGTTTTCTGTAAATTTACAAGTTTGGTAATTTTACAGAAAAGTATTAGTAAAATTATCGAAACCCCGTAATTTTCCCCATAATGTGTGGTAATTTTACAAATGGCTGTAATAGTACGACATTTCTTCTGAAATGTTACAGAAAACATGGAGAATCACTAGAGCCTGTACAATTCACTTCCAGTAAATTTCTGTAAAACCACTGGATTGATCTGTATAACAGAAAGTAATGCTTTCTCAGACCCAGCATACGGTTGCGTGTTAGCACGTGCTGTTCGAAAGATTTTTTATACTAACATTTACAGATTAACACAGTAAATTCTAGACCTGTGCATTCGATTATTGGGCTCGGGTTTGAGTAAAAATCAAGGAGAGGACTCCGGTAGTGCCTAGGAACTGACCCGACACTTACACGAGCCCTGTTGGTGGCGGCGTGAGATTAGTGACCCGTGAATTTCCTAACGCCAAAACAGCTGGGCGGAAATCCCGGCGTGGGGCTGGCCCTGGGCTCCGGGCCGAGGTCCTGCCTCCTCCCAACGTCGACAGGCTGGGGATGGGTAGCCAACAGAATGTTAAGAAGGCAGTGAGTTATTAGTCAGTTAGAACTACACTCATCTTAGTTTGTTCTTCAAACAATTAAAATGGGTAGTACCAACGGGAATTTGAAATTGATGCTTTGAGGGCCACGGAGTGGCGCGTGATATGCCGTGTATACCTGCCGGGTCACATAATCCCCAAGCCAGTCTCGCTGGCGGCCGGTCGGGTCGGCCACGGTCACCCGGCACCCGGCTGTCGAGTCACACGGGGACAGTCGAGCATCCCTCCCATCAAGTCCCAGTGGTCTAGTGGATAGCGTGCTGGGTTCGCAACGCAGTCGTCCGAGGTTCAACTCCCGCCGGGTCAAGGTAATTGGTTATTCACTTTAATGCTTACTTCGTTGCTTGTATATCACGGTGAGGTAGGTAGGTGACGATAGGAGGCAAAGGGCAAAGACCTCCGGAAACTCACAGGCGAACGAAATTTCTTTTCCTTTTCTCGAATTACCACACTTTTCATGCATGATAATACTTTTACAGAACGGACCTGTAAATTTACCAGTATATCATGGGAAAATGATTACCATAGAATAACCGGAATCTGTTTTACTAGTGTTCTGTAATTTTACAGACTATAGTAATTTTACTAGACAATGTATTGGCACTAAGTATGCCAAGACTTTTTCTGTAAAATCCCTCCAAAATTTTTTAACTGTGCTGATGTTCACACTCGCCGTTGTTTCCACCAAGGCACAACTGTCCTTGATCGCAATCAAGAACCCTTCGTCATGCGGGGCATCAACTATGCCCACACCTGGTACAAAGGAGATGCCGAAACAGCCATCCCCGCCATTGCCGCCACCGGTGCAAACGTGATCCGCATCGTGCTGTCTGATGGGGACCAGTACACGTACGACGACGCAGCGAGTGTGCGCCGAATTTTGGACATCTGCAAGCAGAACAAGCTCGTCGCAATCTTAGAGGTATGTGTCATTCAAAATACATTTTCCTCCCAACTCGTTCCCAATGAAACCCGACCTGTGTACGAACCTTAGACGTTCCATGTACGATCTTCATGTGTTCATACAGGTAACGTATAAGGTTCGTATGTAGTCAGTGTATGATCTGTCCGCTACATACGATCAATATGTAGACGATTTTGCGTTCCGGTACATACGCTGCGTATGTATGCCTCACATAAACGGTATACATTTGTACAGACCGCATACCTACGTACATGTCCCGTATGTGCACATACGGACTCCATTGTGGCAAACCTCCCGAACAGATGCGGTAGTCATATGTGTTCTGTATGCACACGTACAGAACATGTTCGTGGCGCATACATACTCAACGGGTTGCGGGTGCCGTATGTGTTCCGTATTTCAACTTTGACTGCCAGTGAATTTGCGCAGAATGTTTTCAGCGACACTTGTCCTCACTACGTGTGGCATTTATTCACAAATTTAACCATATTCTAGAATTAAATGGTTAATTTTCAACGCTCGGAGGTCCCGACTACGACGTACGACGTCTTGGATAGTTATGGCGGCGTTTACATCCGTTAAGCGTCGGGCCATATTTTTGTAACAGCGGACTCTCTGCTACCAACTTCCCGCGTCGTTTTAGTGAGAATGGCGTGAAGGGCTCCGCTTGTATATAAAAATCGATGCGTCCCAACAACAATGTTCTATCTGCTATGCACGGAGTTGGGCGCAGCCTTTCACCTTTGTGTGGTTTGCAAGTAACTGGAAGACATTAAGGCCAATCTGCGCACACGGAAAGAATCGTAAAGGTCCAATGATTCATTATTGACTGCAAAAAGTGAAGTAGAACGAGCGGTTATAAGCAGCAATAAGCAGCGGCAATGAGCATTTCTTTGGAGGTGTCTCGAAACCCGCGTTTTATAGATAGAACATTGTGTATTCAGTACTCTGCAGATAGAACATGAGAATTTTACAGAGAATTTCAAACCCTCGATTGGGACTGAAGAGGAACAGTACGGCTCTTAAATCGATTTTTTTTGAAAATATCACTCTTCATTCACGCCACCATATAATTCAAAATGTTATGTTTTTGAGCTGAGGGGTGGATCAACTCCCCTGCCAAGTGTTCAACCCTAATTCTGCTAATTCAAAATAATTCAGACCAATTCAATTTAATTCAAATAAATTCAGAAATAATTCAACTAATTCAGGCCAATTCAAGTCAATTCACGGCTATTCAGTAAAATAAAATCGCGATAATTCATACCAATTTCAAAAGAATTCAACCAATTAAGTCGAATTCAAGTTCAATTCAAGCCAATTTAAGCCGATTCAGTTCAATTCTTGAAATTTGTACACCAAATTCAGGAGTTATCCACCCCTTGGTTTGAGCACTTTGAAAATTATTTGCAATTCAGGTTTATGCCGGTGTTTTCATTCCAGGTGCATGACGCTACCGGTTCGGACGATTTTGCGAAGTTGCGTCGTGCTGCTGACTACTGGATTAGTTTGGCATCCACTCTGAAAGGGCTCGAGGACCACGTCATAATCAACATTGCCAACGAGTGGTTCGGTTCATCTGGACAGGTAAGACTAAACTTAAGGAAAGGTTTAAGAAATAATTATTTGCACGAATCTGAATGCTCACAGTTAAAATCCAACAAGAACAAAGTTGGGTAAAAATAAAGTTGCCCCAATATTTTAGAAAGATTGGTTTTGGGGTGTTATCATTTCGTACTGTCATTTGTCCTGGTATGGTTGTCCGAAAGTGGAACGATTGGTCGCTGCTAAAACAATCGAGATATCCCAAGACTTCATCTGATTCGAAATTGAGTATTAAAATTGCACATACGGATTTTTCTTCTCGTAATTAAGTAGAACTATGAGTGTGTCCGAATTTAGCCACCAACCGGTCGATGTGCGATCGGCCGGTCGTGGAGCGGTCAGTGCGGGAGAGACAGATGTGTGCTTTTCTCATGGATGCTATCTCTCGCACTGACCGCTCGACGTCCGACCGATCACACA